TCCGGCCCACAACGCCCTCGACGTGAGCATGTGGATTCACATGGCAGATGCGGGTGCAAAGTCAAAACTCAAGAGGCATGCATGCCGCAGCATGCCCATATGGTAGTTTCCCTAAACAGGGGACCCCGGTATAGACACCAAGATATTATGATACTGTTTCTGGGAACCAGAAATGATACCCCTCTGTTACAGCCAAATTTCAGCGAAACCACCCTAAACCCTAAAGCCGAGACACCAAACCCGAACCCCAAAAGCCTAAAGCCTAAACCCTAAACCCTAAAACTCTAAACCCTAAAACCCCAAAACCCTAAACCCCTAAACCCCAAACAAAGTCAAGGCTGAGTCCTGGGCCTTTGGGCACGTACAGAAAAACCGAGTCGTCCTTTGCATCAGCACCACCCAGACCCCTGGGAGGATCTAAAAATTAGATCCCCTATATAAACCCATTATAACCCCTATATAATCCTCATATAATTTCCCTTATGGTTCTAGGGGATCTAATTTTTAGATCCCTTTGGGGGTCTGGGCACTGGACATGCAAAAGAAAATGAAGGTACATCGAAAGGGGGGTTGTAGGGGATGTGTAGGGGTTATATAGGTGGATTAAGGGTACCTTTAAACGGGGTTGTAGAGGATATGTAGGGGTTATATAGTTATATAGCTGGATATAGGTCTAGGGCTTCTCGAAATTAGGGTTACTTTTTTGCTGGGTCACTACAATGAGGATTATAGCATGTTTGGGGGGTCTAACTTGGCCCCCATCATGGAATCTACCATGTCAAGTCTGCAGTCTCACCCTCCAGCATCACCTCTAAACCCTGAACCCTAAACCCTCAAGCCCATATAAACTTACCATTACTTAGGGTACCCAAGTTTCCTTAGCTTAAATCTTTAAAACTTCAAAACCAAAACGACCTACCCAAACCCTAAGTAATGGTAATAAACCCTAAGCCCCAAACCGGCCTCATCCACCCACTGCGCCAAGCCATTGAGAACTCCACGTCTGACTCGATTTCGTTGAAATCCTCAGCACAATGCAGCGCCTACAGCTGCAAAATACTTCCAGCTTGCACAAAAGGAAACTTCTACAATGATGGCCTGGAGTTTCCCTAAATTAGGGGTACCTTTTTGGGGTTTCATAGTATTTTGGGCTCCATATTGGGGTCCCCCTATTTAGGGAAACTACCATGTAGTACCTTGTATAAGCAATCATTGCATTTGCAACCTTTGACTTTTCATGGGGCCTCGCAGCCCGCCGGCTGGTGAACCGGAAGTGGTGCGGAAGAAGACCTGGCAATGCTTTGCTCTGATGGGAGTATCTCATGACATTATGGGGATAGAGCAAGTGTTGAGAAACTCCCAAACTACGGCCCGCGCTACCAAAACCACTACCACCACCACATTGAACATCCTCTGGCATGAGACATTTCCGTGAATGCCCGTTAGTAGGTCCCAAAGTACAAGTGTTCTTTTCGGGGGACTTCCGAGAAATGACCACTGATGTGTGGAAACCACATATACCAAAGCTGCAAGACAGCATGGCTCACCGTCACCGCTCCAGCCATGGCCACGTCACGCAGCCCTGCCAGAAGCAAAGGGTCAGGGTCGCAAAAAAAATGATGATTCAAGTACTGAAGGTGCGATGTACTACTTCTTCACTTTGAGGACCAGTAGATGCGGAGGTTTGTGCAGACATAGCAATGTCTGCGTCTTCGTGGCATGCTCATATCAACAAAGAACGGTGGCGCGACAGGCAATCTCGCCTTCGAGCAGGCACAGGTCTCGGATTCTCTTGGCCCCAGCAATCCTGAAACTGCTAGCCAGTCCTGTACCCGCCATGTAGCTTGCATGCTTGAAAGTCTTAGACTGTCGTCGACGAACCTTTGAGTTACGCGACTTGCGACGGAACGTCTGAGAATCTGGACGCGTTGCTTGTACTGTTGTTGGTGCCACAGTACCGCTGGTGCTAGTGCTGCTGCAGAAAATGCTGCTACGACTGCTACAAATAGCCTTTCAGAGTCGCTGCTACAACAAACCGCTGCCGCCACCCATGCCATCTCTGCTACAGCTGCTGCAACCGCCGATGCCATCGCAATCGTCACAGAAAAACTGCCACCTCAACCGAGATCCTCACAAGCACAGCTACTCTGACACCTCCCCCCCCCTGTTGACCCGCTTCCTACTACTTCAATGACACCAAGATGTACTGCGCACACTACGCGCAATAGGTCTGGAAGGCAAGGACAACAGGCAGTACGTACTTGTTTGTTGTACTATGCAAACAATGGTAATGCTTTGGCCGCACTTCCATCCCGTTGTCATTTTAATCGCTAATGTTTTTATGATTACAGAACCTGAACTGAATTACGTGATTTGTCACTCCGAAAGCTATGGAGACTTCATTTCGAATTCTGCAAAGTTCTTGTAGCTCCAGATTACGCTCTCTCGAACTTTTTTCCGCCCTGATGCACGACTGATCCCCGAACAAAACCCGGCTGACCAGATTCAGCAAGCGGACCTCCAAAATGCTTGCAAAACATCTCGTGTTTCCCCTGGAGCCGCTCTTGGCCCTTACGAGCCGCACAATGTGCACAAAAACTACAAAAAGGTTAACCTGATGCTGGGAGGCTCCCTACAAACTCTCCATGAATCGGCCTGCATGTTGGGGGTCGTTCACCAGAAGCAGAGTGTGCTGTCGGTTGCTGTTTATTCTACATTGCTCTTCAATTCTGATCCCCATTTGTTATTTTCTCCAATACGACCCTCGCAGTGAGAGCTGTCCCGCAAATTACATTGTTGTCCGCCCATTTCCATTTTGGTGAGGAATTCATGGTTTCTTAAGGTCAGAAAGCGATGAAAGCATTGCGCAGCATGCGTGTCGCCTAGCAGGCTGAGGATACCCTTTGCAAATCCCCGGCCTTCTGCACTTAGCACTCGCACTCGAAGAATTCCACTGAAGGCATCACGGACGAAACGAGGAGATAGAAGGACAACCTGAACCACGCTTGCGTGGAGCAGACCATGTGCTTACGTCTGCAGTGCAGGCACTCCTGCACCCCCTCTATGCCGGGCCGGCTGGTGTCACCTGCGGACACCCAAACCTCAGCGAAGCAGAATGCTTGGCTTGAAACAGCGCAACCCAACGCAAGATGTCCATCATTGTGTGGCAAACTCAAATCCATATCGCAACAATTTCCAATTTTTGCCACTCCTTCTGTATGTTGCAGAAGCCAAGGAACCCCCTGAGCACGATCGATCATGGTGTATGAATCGAAGGAAAATCCCGCCATGACCTGACAAATCTTTCGCTTTCAGGCGGCAGAACTTCGTGGAGTTCTGTAAGCAAGCTGCCATGCAAAGATTCAAGTCTGGAAAATCGACAGGCGTGTCCTGCCCATGCGTTTCGACCACAAACCTCGATAATGCTTCAGTTTGTCCTTCCCCGAGCCATCAGATTGCCACGTCTCCGGGTGTGAGAAGGCCAGAATTCGAGAGCCTTCAATATGCTGCACAAAGCCACAGAAAAACCACAGCTGAACGTATAACGTTTGAGACTGAGAGGTAGCCCTTCTGCTGCCTCGGTACGAGGTCCTGCGACTAGGCCTGGACAGCCTGTCACCGATGACTTGTCTTACAACTTGACTCTTAGCACACCTGATCAAATTACACTTGCAGCCCGAACCTCGCCAATAGGGAAAGCGCCGGGACCTGCATGCATACCACCAACCAGGCCTAAACCTTAAAACCTAAACCCTAAACCCTATGAACGCTCTTGTCAGCAAATGAGCAACGGACGGCGGTTAAAGTCAGAAGGGAACTGCCGCGCGCAGCTCCCTGAGCCTTTGACTTTCAAGCATCAATGAACAACAGTCGGGTACCAAATAGTGGAGAATCGCATTGAAATGACATGGAAACCACTTCTGGTAGGGGATATCTAAGGATTTATTGGGGCTTATCGATCCTACGCTAATAATGGAAAAATCGAATGAAAAAGGAAATGGAAAATGATGGAAGATAAGATGGAAACTAGGGTTATGTTGGGGCTTATACGGCTCACGCATACTGAGACCAGGGCGACAGCTGAAAACGTTTGCGACTTTGGCAACGCCACACCATTGGCCGGACCTGCGGGAGCCTTGGAAAAACCACTGCTCACTGAAGGATTGATGGTTTAGGATTTAAGGTTTTGGGTGTTGGAATGGGCCTTTCGACATATTTGCGGCCCATGCAACAAAGCCCGAATCTAAACAAAGCTCAAAATGAAGGATACTGATTGACCCTGAAGTGTGGGAAATGATGACATCAACTTACTAGTGCTTAGCAGGGAATGAGGGAATATGCTATTATATTCCCTTATTCTCTACTAAACCCTACACCCCGAACCCTACATATACCCTTACTCCCTGCGAACCCTAAACCCCAAACCCCAAATCCTATCTATTCCCTTATTCCTTATTGGATAGGTTTCCTAAAATTAGGGGAAGCAATATAGACCCCCGAAATGCCATCATTCTTATTATGGGAACCCCAAAATGGTACCCCCTCATATTAGGAAACCCCCATTTTGCCCTAGTAAGTCAAAGCCAGGAGGCCAGCTGTGAGCGCAGTGCGGCGGGGCTCGCAGCATACATGTTCTGTGTTTGTAAAAAACCTGATAAGCTAACTGGGAGTAGGGTTTAAGGTTTAGGGTTTAGGATTGAGGTTTCGGGTTTAAGGTTTCGGGTTTGGGGTTTGGGTTTAGGGTTAGCAGGGAATAAGGGAGTATAATCCCTAGATAGTCCCTATACAATATGCTCCCTTGTGCACTACCAAGCACCAGCAAGTGCAATTAGCGTTTCTTGAGCGTGTGCTACACGGTGGAAGCTGTGTGAGGCCACCTCTCTTTTGATATTCCCGTGCAAGGAAAGCAAATGGCTGGCGGAAAGCATCACAGCAGCCGGATGGTGAAGACTGTCCTACCAGTCTCTGTTTTCCGCATATGTTGAATCTCATTTTCCGGCCTGCACCTCGGAGGGAGGAGGAGTAGCTTCCAGACCGAACCGCCTCCTGTCCTTGCGCAGACTTGCAGAACACCTCGGTCGGCCTAAGGAAGATTTCCCCAGGCATCGCTGTAGAAATGGATAACCAGGGACCTCCCCCTGCGTGGTCTGTGTGGATAATGCTGAAGCTTCCGAACCCTCCTGACCTGGAGCTAGAGAAGTTTGGGCCACTTACCCTCATTTGTGCCATGATCTCAAGGAAAGACCGCGGATGAGGCGTTGCACAGAAATGCCCAAGTACTCTCTGCAGCAAACGGTGCGGCCCCAAAGACCCAATACTCAGCCAAGATGTCAGCGAGTCCTCCAAAGACAGTGTAGAGGTGTGAACTGGGCCTCAGTCCGCTAAAACATGGCGCACGTACTATCAAATGAATGCTGTAAGGAACCAACCAACTTCTCGAGGATAGCCGTGCTGTTGGCCATATGGCTATGGCTCCATTCATGACCATTAACCCTTGATCCGGCCACCCATATATGAAACCTGATCATAAATTCATCCTTCCAGGGCAGCAACCTGCACATTGCATAAACTTTCTCTCATGGCAAACCGAGTCAAATATCTAAGGCTGCAGCAATCGAAGGCCTCTGCTCCTAAGGGCTTCGAGCGCACAGAGCACTCAGGTGGTATTAACTGTGGAATATCAGACAAGCATGGGGTCCTGCTTCGGAAGGTGCAGAGACAGCTCCCTGCCACAAGGCACTTGGAAAGACTGTGCCACATCGTGTCTGCAACTGGAACTTCAAGCTCTCGAATGCCGGGGGCAAGCGCGGCAGATGAACGGCCTCTTCTATGCTTCCTGCAGTGCAGTTGAAGGATGGAAAGTTAACAGCGTGGGGGCACAGGGTAAGTGCGGGCCCTGCCTGTGCCAGCTGCCATACTCTCGATCCTCAAGACCGTGCTATTCGAAAAGCAACACGGAAAGAAATCCAAGGGACTGGCGCTTGGACCTGACGTTGCAGACGAAGCAGGTGCACCGCCTGTTCAGACGTCGGTTTGAGGGCTCAGGGGTAGGACGACTCAGTTGCCTGCTCGCGTGCGATCTCAGCAGCTTGCGTCATTGCTGCAACCTAGAAGAAGGAAAGAAGAGGTGCCCAGGCGAAGGAAGAGGCTTGCACCTCCTTGCGCTTGAGCTCCAAGTACTCAAACAGATCATCATCGCCGTCAATGCCTCCTGCAGACTGTTCAGATATATCTCCATGACTCAAGGAAGGTGAGTTTCAAGGTGCACCATCCATGCTAGCTCACAAGCTTTCACCGATGTTTGCAGACATGTCCCCAAACAGGCCTTGCCAAATGAAGGTACGCTTTCGCAAGATGAGACTCTGGTAGAAATATGAGAGAATGCTATTGACTCTACTCACAGGCCTGATTCTTCGGTTCTCGCGGTGGCACCGGCATCATCTGCCATTGGCGGGCGGCAGTAACCTGCCTTACATTCCTTTTTGCAAAGCAGTTCTGCAGAAAGATGACCTGGTCGATCTATGATTCTGGCTCCTACTATGCCTCCCCTTGAGGCTGGCAGAAGACAACATAAGATTTCTTCCTATGGGACTAATTCCATACACCTGAACCTGTCCTGAGCCTGAAGTTGGGTGAACATGTTAGTCTCAGATTCAAAGTTTTAAAAAGCGACACTTCTCCACCAGACCACACATGCAGTGTCTTCTTTTGCTACCATCAGACAACTCGAAAAGGCATAGGGTCTGTACGAGGAGCATCTTCTGGTAGATAGCCGCTTTGGGATCCAGCGCCAAGATGCCAGAACCCTCTGTACATGCAGGCTAGGAAAATCCTGCGAAACGCCATATCTAAATGCAACTATTCACTTTGAGGCTAGCGCGCATGCCCACATTTCAGAGCTCGCCGCTTGACCACCATGCCGGAGGCACTTTCTACATTTAGTCTTTGTCACTGTAGCCATCAACAACTTCGTTGGGAAAGTCCAGTCTGGTGCCATCTGCGAAGACGCAAGTTATGGTCCTCAGCGGGACTGGTCTGGGCAACTGCAGCTTTTAAAACAGCAACTGCGCATGAATCTCCCAAGCCGAAGTCCTTTGACAACCCTGCTGCTTCGTTAAGCAGCCAGCTTGTACAAGGAGGAACTGCACTGAATCAAGTGTTACAAGTCTGTTTGTAGCCATGTCTACATTCCCGGTTCGCAATAATGAAATCACAAAACGTAAGGGGCTAGGTGAGGGCCTGCCCCTTTCATGCTTCATACTCACCCTCGAGAGAACAGAAACAGAATGAGAAAAAAATGCTTTTTATCTTGGTTCAAAAGACTTGTCGGTGAAGGCCTTCTCAATGATACACTCCTGGCGACCGAAATCTCAAGAATGCAAGAAGCTGCAAGGAATTGCAAGATTGAAGGCCGGCCTGCCCACGACGAGCCCATTTTTCAGCCGAATATCCGTTCAGAGACTGAGCCTTGGCAGCTTGGCGTCTCGATTGAGTGCTCGCTGAGTCTGAGCTTGGCAACGGGCCGGAAAGCGCCCAAAAGCTGCTCGGAAGGCTTTCTCGTTCTGGCAGCACCAGTAACACCAAAACTTGCAGACACAACGCGACAGGTGAACACCCAAGGGCTCCTCCAGCAAGCGCACCCGCTCTCCGGCCAGAACAAACGTGCCACCTCAGATGGCGATCTGATCCGTACATGCCATACTTTGGCCTAGAGCACAAGGTGAACAAAAGCGTGCCAGCAATTTTCGCTAAGACTGCGCCACAAAATCACCGAACACTATGGGATTGGAGCCGGAGCCTTCAAGCTGCCAGCGCAATGCTGAAACATTCGCTTCGTGCATCTGATGCGCGCGCCAGCTTCATATCGAAGTGTCGCAACGCAACAGGCAACGCTTCATCAAAAACTTTGCTGCCTCAGGCGCTTCAGTGGTCCTGCTTTTGTGCAGCCATCTGTTGACCTGCTTAATCGCTTAAGAAAAACGTCATGGAAACTCGGTGTTTTGCTCTACCTGGGTGCGCAGTCATCTCAACTACACATCCCATAAACTCCCTGCACTTCTCGGGAGGTTTGGACTGGAGTCTGTACAGAACAGCGCGATCCAACTCTCACGTTAAAGCATGGCGCAGCATCACCTCAAACAGTCGAGCTTGAGGCTATCGCCTCTGCCTCCGTCTCTTTAGAACATCCAAAGTCTGAATACGCTTTGACTTGCCATGTGGCGCTCCCTGAGCAACTCTTGCTTGCTCTCGTTCCAGACAACCCCGCACCTCAGCTGGGGGATTTGATGCTACTCATGGCTTGCACCCGAACATCCATGCTATGTGGTGACAGTCAGAGCTTAACTCTTAGAACCCGGGAATGGATCCACGGTAGCAATGTGTAAGAGATCCATGCTGTAAGTCCAAAAAACAGATCGGATTCAATGTAGTTTGTCTCTGAGCACCAAGCATGGCTCTCAAAGCGCTCCGTGTTTGCCCCGGTCCACTGCTCAATGAGCTCTCCACCGGACTCTCCACGTCGAAACATGAAGAAGGCCGGGGACACCTCTGCGGCAAGTTGACACCGAGTATTATACTATATTATGGTATATTATACTATAGTATCGTATATTATAATACTATGGTATTACAGTATATTATAATATACTATCGTATGTTATAGCACTGTTTCCGTCACAACATGCGAGCAAAACACCGGCCTTGACGCCCAATTCCTTCGTGCAAAACTCCATTGCCCCCACAGTGCCATTGCCCACGAGCTCTACGAAGCGAATGTCTCGGAACCTTGCTCATGCATGGGGTATATGGGGATTATATAGGGATATATGGGGATTATATAGGAATATATAGGGATATATAGGATTATATAGGGATGTATAGGGATAATAGGGATATAAAGGGATAATGGAAAAGAAGATGGAAACTACTATGATGGGTTAGATTATAGCGATAGAGACTACTATAAGGCTCCATCAAACGATCCAGATACTGCCTCATGCTTGTCACTCGTCTCCAGTCCTACACTCTCAAGCCCAACTCCCAGCTCTGGACCCTCTAAATCCAAGGCTCTAAATCCAAAAGCTCTAAATCCCAAAGCCCTAAACCCTAAGCCCTGAATCCTAAGCCGCAAGACCCAAACTCTAAGCCCTAAACCCCGAGCCCTCAACCCGTGGAGATGCTGGAAAAGCGCAAGTGCGGTCTGAGGGGCTCCTCGGAGTACCTCCGCCACTTTGGCTCGAAGGCACGGCAGCTCCTGCAGAAGGTGAAGGTCACCTCGCCAAATCTTTGGAGGTGGGGGGGTCCACCTAAGTAAAAGTAATGGCAATAATACCAATATTAATAGTGAGAATAACAGTAATAATCCAGGACCCTCCTTGAAACCTTACATGTGGGCGGTTGTCAAAATTATGGTCGATTTGGGGCACCCTAAATATCAGGTGCCGTATTGTAATAGGGATCCAAAAAGGGACCATGATTTTGGCAACCACCCATGTAGGGTCCAGCAGTTTGGATGCAGCGTGTAGGGACAGCCATGGCTTGGAAAAAGAGGGTTTGCGTTACATTTTGGGACTTGGGCTTCACAAATGCTTGACACATCCAAATTTGGTAGTTTCCCTAAATAAGGTTCAGGGTTTAGGGTTTCCCTAAATAGGGTTTTGGGTTTAGGGTTTAGATTTTACCTAAATAGAGGGTTTAGGGTTTCCCTAAATAATGGGAGGAGGGACTATAACCCCAATAGTGGAAAATCAAATGGAAAATGAGATAGAAACTAGCGTTATATAAGCACTGTATGAGGATAGTTTGCACTGTATGAGGATAGTTTGTAGCTTCCCTAAATAGGACCCAACATAGACCCAAAAATGTTATTATCCATGTTAATATTATATGAACCCCCAAAAAAGGTACCCCCAATTTCGGGAAATCTTGCTTCGCCAGGAAGATGAAACAAGTTTGGCATCCATGTCGAGATCTCTCCTTCTAGCCAGATGAAATTAGAGACGCCATTGAAGTTAGCAGAAACACCCTGAACCCCAAGCCAGACCCTTAACCCTAAATCCTAAATAAACCCTAAGCCCTAAACCCTAAGCCAGTAGCAAACTCTAATTACCCAGCCCTAGGTTGGAAAATCTGAATGGGGAGCCCGGACCGACATGTGATCCTTCAATCAACAACCCTGCCTTGAAACCTAAAGTTTGAAAATGAATGTCACCTTAGATCGCCAACTTTTTGAGCTGAAACTTTAATTCCAAATCCCGCGCCAGCCTTAAGGAGTACCAGCGTACCAAGATTTAGAGGTGGATTAACCTCAGTTCCGGCTGAGCAGCATTTGAACATTCCTTCATTTGCTGCATCATAAGCGTAGCTAGTTTGAAACACTTTGGCAGACATACATTTTGTTTTGAAAGCTTTGAGTGCTAGCAGAGCACACAGCAGATCTCCTGTCAACCTCCCCTGAGGCCTAAACGTTGGTGATGATACTTTTCCAAGCTTTCGCACTGGTGGTCACGACACACCTAGCCTGCAGCATGGGAAACGAGCTGAGGAGGCAGAAAAGTAATCCTAATCAGGACGGCATGCAGACATGTGAATGTTGTCATGTTTCTTTGTCATGCTGGTTTCCAACATTCGCAGTATGCCAGATAATGGGAGATACAAAGTCGGAGTCGCCGCACATCAGCCGCAGGATCCATAGAATCCATCCAAATGGTTCCGAAAGCAGGACAAGACTATGACACTACCTGATGATTGTAAAGCGATGAAAAGGGAGGCCTCCATGACATGCTTGCGCCACCAAGCCAAGAACTCCGCAAACGACACTTCGCCGTCATGAGTGGAGTCCAGCTCCTCCACTAACCTCATTGGAGTGCTTGTTCGGTTCAGGGTTAAGGTTTAGGATTTAGCGTTTAGGATTGCTCTTACTTTGCAGGAAAGTGGCTTGTCCAACTCGCGTTCAAGGCCCAGAAGAGCCAGGGCGCGACAGAGTTCCTTGTTTCTGCGCCCAGGACATTCTCAACACTCAAGATGAGCTGTAGAAAGTGTATATATAAGGGATTATAAAGGGATAAGTAAAAAGTAGACTACTATTAAGGGTTCGGGGTTTAGGGTCGAAACTCCTCAAATCCTTAAAGGGGATTATATAGAGAGCATTACAAGGAACTATAATGGCGGATCCTAAGAGTTTAGACTATAGCCTATATCATATACCCTACATAACCCCTATATGGTAGTTTCCCAAAATTAGGGTACCCCAATATAGACCCCAATATACTATAATCCTTAATATGGGGACCCCCAATAAGATACCCCTAATTTTGGGAAACCCTAACCCCTATAATCCCCTACATATCCCAGTTTCCATTTCATTTTCCATTTCCTTTTCCATTTGATTTTCCACTATAGTAGGTACCCCTAATGTTGGGAACTACCCCAATTTAATCCTATTGCAATATAGGAGTTTCCATATTCCCCCTGCGAAGGTGCCCTTCATCCTCTTTTCCGTTATCCTGCCATCCAGGATGAGCCAAGAAGCGTCAGGCTGGAGCCGGCCATCCCCATCCTTGGCTGATGCTTACAATAGAAGCACTTGCATATAGGGTTTAGGGTTTAGGGATATGTATATATATATTCTAGAATGCATTTTGAAAATATCTATATATACACATACATATATACTATAATGGATCTTAAATATATATATATACATATATATACTATATTGCATTTTGAATATATATATATATATATTTACGTGCATATACTTTGATGAATATATTTTAATATGCCATAATATAGGCATACACTACCCCCAATAATGGAGAATCAAATGGAAAAGAAAATAGAAAATAAAATGGAAACTCGGATTATGCAGGGGGTTTAACAGGGAGTTGGGGAAACTACCATATGTATATATATATATATAGATGCACCAAAAGCATCTGACTCGCGTGGAGACACGCCTAGCTAGACAGGCCTTCACACAAACAGGCACCTTCTCGCCGCCTAGCGTCAACGTCCATTTGGTCGAAAATGGCCTCCCACGCAAGCATTGTGGTGAACTTACCTTTCGATTCTAATCCAGAGGCCGTAGTCTTGACAGCATCTTTTCAAGCAAATGCAAGCCTTTTCTCGCACATCAACGCAGCCACTCAAGCCAATGGACCATGTTGTCATTCGAACTACCTAGTTCCCTTTCAATGCAAGGCTGTCAAGTGTACACCTATACCCGTCCCCAGCAGCGTTTCTGAGCCTGGAGCTGCACTTTAGAGAGGTGCTGCAAGATCTTGGAGTCATTTAGGACGCCATCCAATGCTCGCCTTGCCTGGCAGCGTCGTGCCCACAAGGGCTTACACGATGCTCCGCAAGGCAACGTGCTCCTTGCTTTGCTCCCCCCATACCATGGCAAACAAATACCTCTCTCCATCTGATTCATTGCAGGCCGAGGACATCAAAATGAAGTTTGGGTGCATTGAGAAGCTGAGTACTTTGCAGTAGAATAATAGTAAAAATAATAGTAATAGTAATAGTAATAGTAATAATCATAATAATAGTAATAATAATAGTAATAGTAGAAGAAACTCAAAGACAACACGTTTGGAGATTGCCCCAGGATGCTTCCTTTTTGGACCCAGTCCTTGTGCCTGCTTGATCTGGCTACAGACTGAGAACCTATCTGCTGCCCAAAACACATGGGTTGTTCTCAAAATGATGGGCCCCTTTTGGTTATAGACGATATTAAAGCACCTAATATTCAGGGGTACCAAAATAGGACCCAGATTTTGGGAACTGCCCTGCTACCAGTGTAAGAAATTGCTGAGAGGGGCTAAGGGCGAGAAGGTCCGCCGACTTGCAGCGGCTTGGGGTACCTCTTTTGGGGTCCCTCAAAATAAGGAGTATGATTTTGAGGATGACAATGCTTTTGGATCCAAATTGGCGTCCCCTGAAATAAGGATTATGGTCATGAGGATGATAATGGTTTTAGGTCCATATTGGGTCCCCTATTTTCTTGAAGGGAGCCCTAAACCCTGAACCCTAAACCCTAAACCCTAAACCTTAGGCCTGGCTGATCTGTAGTTCAAAGATAGCAGCCAACGCCATGCCACGCACTATACCGACTTCCTCCTCCGGCGCGACCACAAGCATGTCCGCTCCCCTGGCACCATCAGCTTGCGTACTTGCAGAGCTAAGTACAGTCGGCAAGTGAAAACCTATAACGGACATGCTGTTGTAATATATTGTTCCAAATTATTGTACAAGTATCGTACTTTGTACTATACTGAGGTATATCATAATACATCTCTTTATAATACACTACCATATTCTGGAAAATTATACCATAGGATACATAACTATGCCAGAAAATACTACATTACACCATATGACAACATATGAAAATGCATTAGATGGCTCACGCAAATGCTCAAACAAACGGCGCTACCCTTGACCCCAAACCCTAAATCCCAAACGCTAAACCCTAAACCCCGAAAATCTTAAACCCGGGCCTCTGAGCTGCAATGTCTTTCGTCTTCAAAAGCTGCGTAGATTCCGTCAGCGCCTGCAACGTTTGGTCATGAAAGACTTGGGTAACATAGGGCTTAAGGTTTAGGTGATTCTGCTCCAACCCTAATATATACCCCATTATACTATAGTAGTTTCCATTTTCTTTTCCATTATCCCAATATTACCCCAATATACCTGGGGTTAGTTTTTTTTTTGGTTCGGACCTTTTCTCCACAAGTCAGGCTCCCAAGATGCTCGTAGAGCACAGTCCTCCATCCGCCGACTCGAGAGCGTATCCCAATCAGTCAGCACAAAAACCATGCCTTCTGCGCAGCAGACTCCCTGTGGGGACAGGTACCAAGCCAGCTCTACCTGTACCAAAGGACCACCCGAAGCAAGGCAAAAGTCCTGTCACTGAGGCAAAGGACACTCATCCAGCATAAGCCTACCCCTTGTGCATTTTGCACACTAAGTTCACATTGTCCTTCGTGCTCGCGCCCTCGTCCGAGATGCCCTTCTTTTTGCCCTTCCAATCGCCAAACTTTTCCATGCCCTGGTCGTCTTCTCTCTCGTCAGCTGTGTCGCCAAGTTGCTCTTGCGTAATCTGGAATGAACAGTTGCCCTGCTCACCGTCCTCGTCCGCAGCCGGCATCCTCGTTGCCCTCATGGCTCTTTCATGTTCAGGCCCCGCCCAGCCGACCCCTTCTCCAGGAATTGGCCCAGGCACGAAGGGGTAACTTAACATAGGATTATGTCGGGTATCAAATGGAAAAGAACATGGAAAGCAAAATGTAAGACTGGAATAAATTGGGCTTTATATGGCTCAGGATTGCCCAAACTTAGAGGTACCATTTTGAGGCTGTCTATACTAAAGATTGCAAATAATTACAATCCTCAACATAGTTCATATTTTGGGGTCTATTGTTGGGTCCCCCAATTTACCGCAGTTGGACATGCAATCACAACGGCAATTAGCATGGAAACCAGCGTGATGGTACATTTGGCGACAATCCTGGTTGTTGTAGGATAAATACAACCACGATGAAGCGGCGGAAAGTTGATTTTGGGCATATGGGAGGTAGCGAAAAGGACTGGTACTCATCTTCGTAATTTGTCGTCAGTGTCGTCAATCCCCCCACCACGATGGAGTGGTGGTGTGAGTGGAGTGCGTGGCGCAGTGGTGCTACTGGTGCTACTGCTGCGGCTGCTGCTGCTGCTGCTGGTGCTGGTGCTGGCGCTGGTGCTGGTGCTGGCGCTGGCGCTGGGGCTGATGCTGGTGCTGGCGCTGGTGCGGGTGCGGGTGCGGGTGCCGATGCGGGTGCTGGTGCTGGTGGCGGTGGCAGTGGCGGTGGCCGTGGCAGTGACGGTGGCGGCGGTGGCGGCGGCGGCAGTATAGCTGTTGTGTTGGCGTTGATGGTGGTGTTGGTGTTGGTGGTGGTTGGTGGTGGTTGTTGTTGGTGGTGTTGGTGGTGTTGGTGGTGTTGGTGTTGGTGGTGTTGGTGGTGTTGGTGGTGTTGGTGGTGTTGGTGGTGTTGGTGGTGTTGGTGTTGGTGGTGGTTGTTGGTGCTGTTGGTGGTATTGGTGGTGTTGGTGGTGTTGGTGCTGGTGTTGGTGTTGGTGTTGGTGTTGGTGTTGATGTTGGTGTTGGTGCTGGTGTTGGTGTTGGTGTTGGTGTTGGTGTTGGTGTTGGTGGTGGTTGGTGGTTGTTGTTGTTGTTGTTGTTGTTGGTGGTGGTGGTGTTGTTGTTGTTGTTGGTGGTGGTGGTGGTGTTGTTGTTGTTGTTGTTGTTGTTGTAAAGATACATAAATAAATGAAAACAACATCAATCATAAGAATCTGTGGAGGTGTGTCATGCTAGGCCTGTGGACAAGACGACTTTAACCACAGTACCCCACCTGGGCACAAATTGACAGAGAGTCAACAGGTGAAAGGCCCCAGAATCAACACTTCCCACCATATCGAGGCACCAAGGCCTCTACCTACGACACTGCCTTCATCATAAATGCTAGTTTCCAGCAGTACGAGGACCCCAATATAAACACTAAAATGCGGTAGTCCTTATTGAAGGGATCCCAGAAAGCAACCCCAAATTCCAGGAAGCCCCCAAATGGAAGTCCTACACATGTAAAACCACAATTTTGGCGCTAAACCCTGAAGCGGCCTCCCGGAGACTCTGACCTCTTTCGCTTCTTGTCCTGCATTTCCCATACGCATATTCCCTGTATAGACGCCGTATACGAGTCCCCACAGGCCCTTCCCTCACTCCCCACTAGCTTCCAGAAATGTTGTGGCCTTGGGGCACGAGATGCAAGGTTTAGGGGTCTATGTGGGGATCTGACCAAGGAGGCCATCATTTTCCTAAAGCCGAAACCCACTGCAGGCAATGACGTGCCTAGTGCTTGCCTTTCACATGATCCATAGACATTAGATGGGAGATTCGCAACATGGGGTACCGTTCGGGACCCCCGGGAAGACATGGTGATTACAGATGTACAATGGAGGGGATCCCATAAAGAAATACAGAAGACAGAAGGGCTATGGATTGTCGATTGCCTTGAGCAATAACACGCTTCTGATATGGCTGCAAGGCATGCTGTTCCCCAAGGCAACATATTAAGGAGATACCTACCAGGGATGCTATGTCCATCGGTACTTCTCCATCCAGCTTCGTGACCGCAATTTGAGTTTCTGAAGCCTGTTCACCTTCCCTAAACCTCAAAACAAGTTCTATCGGCTTTTATCGGGATCATTCATACAGAAGTATATAGCTGAAATCTCAGTACATGAATATGCCCTTTGGGCAGCTGAACCTTTCAAGCAAGGATGGCAGCAAACCCAATCCCAACCCTCAAACCTGCAAGCCTCAGCCAAATAAAACGGAAGCGTTCATGGGAAGTCTCATGCCATCCGCACTGGGCGTTCGGCACTACGCCCTACATCCTATCCATGGAAACATGGAAACGTGGGCCCTCCTGCGGGCCCTCAAGTGCCAGGACATGCTAGTGTGGCCCTTTAAGGGAAAAGGCGTGCAACGCACTAGGCACTTATGGAGAAACCAAATCAAACGCACACATGCTGATGGTCAGTACATCCTCTATTGATATTGAACCCGCTGGGACTTGGCAAGTCCTTTTTCTTTTCGTCGCCGTCTGCCTTCTCCTTCTTGATCTTGTCCTTGCAGCTGCAGCCGCGGAAAGCTTCCCAAGAACACAAACACTAAACCCTACCTGCAACCCCGATTTCCTACTTTATGGGTTATACCTACTAATTGG